CAGCCTCAAGGCAGTTGTCTGTTTCAGCTTCCTGCCTTCCTGGCGCTCGTACATGACTTTTCCCTGGTCAGTGTTGTCTTTGACCAGTGCATGACAGGCTTGCGAATGATGACTTTCCCTTTCCTCCCGATTCGCAAGCGCACGCAGATGTGGGCATCTGCTCCCATCATTCTTGCGCGCCTGTCTGAGTGTCAGTGCCCAGGGCAGCACAGGCATGCGAATTCTGATGAACTTCGCCGATGTCCTTCGCATGAATGGCCCCGCAAGTTGTGCAATCTGCTGGCGGCCGGCATTGCCGACTTGATTGCAACTGTAGATGGTGAACAGTATTTTGTTTCTTGTCCCGGTTGCAAGGGTCATCTCCGTATGGACGACCCTAAACATACTCGTTCAGGAGATTGTCGCTACCCTAAGGTCAAACCTCACACTTGGACTTGCAAGGCGTGCAAAAGTAATAAGCCTAGAGCCGATCCGTCGCATTCCCTAGGTCCTGACTGCAGGTGGGCTGTGGCTAGAACCATGCCTGAGGGCGCAAGCCGTGAGCGTAAAGGACATCATCCTCGTGATGGGCGCGTGCCTGCCGCCCGGGATCCAACCGCAGACTTGCGTCTCTCAGATGCTCCAGACATTGACCCGCCTGGTGAACCGTCTTCAGGTTCAGGGTTGCCCAGGGATGAACATGGACGCTTGATCCCCCCAGACTCCAGTTCTTCCCCCGCTGCGCGTCCCTTTCGCAGACACAGGGCTGATTCCGCGCCCGGTGTTCACAGGCGGGACGCTGCAACTCAAGCTGAGTCCGGACCAGCAGACCGACGACCTCCTCCAGCTCCCGCGATGAAGCCAGATGCTCCAGCTGTCCGGGCGGAGCCAGCGGATGAAGAAGCTCCAGCTGTCCGGGCAGAGCCGGCGGATGAAGAAGAACGCCTTTGGAGCCGGTTTGACTTGGGAAGGGCTTTACAACAGTTGCGTTCGGTACGTGAAGGGGTAGTGCTCAGGGCTTTACGACAACTACATATACGATGGTACCATTGTTCCGCCGCAAAGATGAAAGATCTTCTGCAAGCCGCAGGCGCCAGTCCTGAGGTATTGAATTTAGTACATCGTGTTGTAGACACTTGCAGTATCTGTAGAGCTTGGTCTCGCCCAGGCCCAAAATCCATCGCTACGACAAACCTTCCCACGCGATTTAACGAAGTCGTAGAGGCGGACCTGCTCTTCTACAAACAGCATGTGGTGTTGCACCTACTCGATCGCTGCACTCGGTTTACTGTGACAGCACAGCTTCCAAACCGAGAGACGGACACGGTTTTGGAGCATCTTCACAAACACTGGATTTCTTTGCTGGGGCCACCAGCAACCTTAATTTCAGATCAAGAAGGTGCTTTCCAATCCCCCATTAGCGCAGAGTATCTTGAGAAGAAAGGGGTTGCTCTAAAGTTACGTGCCAAGGACCAGCATGCTCAGACTGTCGAGCGACATCATGAGATCCTTCGGCAACAGCTTCATGTTCTTGATGACCAGTGCACTGCCGATGGAATCCGAACCAGTTTCAGTCATGTGCTGCTAGCCGAGGCAACGTTCGCGAAGAACGCCCTTTTCCGTTGCGGGGGGGCAACTCCCTACGAAGCGGTTTTCGGCCGTTCTCCGCCTCTTCTCTCTCCGCTTCACCACGAAGCTGGCCACGAAACTTCAGAAAGAGACTGTGAGCGCTTAAGACACGCAGCGATCCAGTCGATGATCCAAGCTTCAGCCAGAAATCAAGTGGCGCGCGCGGATGCCTCCCGAACGAGGCCTGCCGGCGAGCTCCTTGAGATCAAGCCCGGAGACTTGGTCGAGTTTTATCGCAAGGCATCCACTAAGGATGTGAGTGGATGGCATGGTCCTGCGGTTGTAACCGACACCACTTCTGTGAGGGACGGACAGCTTGGCATCAAATGGCAAGGACGGCTTATGTTGTGCCGCCTGCAAGACGTGCGCCGTGCACTGACGTACGTTTGCCTCCTGACAGCAGCCGCTTCAGACACTCCAACAACCATTCTTCAAAGAGCCGCCGAGACTCATCTTGGAGTAATAATTAGGCTCGGCTGGTTTAAATCGGGTGATAAGTGGTTACCTTTCGAAGCTAATAGGCGCTATCCGCACGAGCTTTTGATGGGTCTTCAGACGGTCTTCATATGGCTTCTTGTCTTTTGCATCTTTCTGGCACAGTGTCATTTAGATTAGGCTGTGGGGTTCACACCCTGCCTCCTGTGAAATGCGACGACACTTTTCTCGTGTGGTGGCCGTGCGGCCACATTGAATCTTGGTACCACGCGTTCCTTCCGGGCCATCAGAGTGTAAATTTCGAGCGACTGTGTCCTGTTACCTTTCATAAAATTGCTTTCCTGCAATTCTTTTGCGAAGACACAGAGACCGTAGCAAGCATTCGCCAGGTAGTCGCCGAAATTCCCCATTTGGGTGGGCCTTATGACCCACGCATGCCTCGCCCACGAGATGTGACCCGCAACTTCACTCGTCCTCGAGCACGACAGCTTGCCATCGAGGATGGAAGGCCAACGGAGCCTGAAGTGTTCGACATTGCCACTCCACCGGATGCCTCCGTGGCCGAGAGCGTCAACTCACGCACCGCTTCCGAAACAGAAGAAGAACCCACGGAATCCCCAGTAGATATGTTCACTCTCTATCCGCATCATCCTCCCGCAGTGTTGGCAGATCACGCTCCTGAGCGTGCCTTCGTGTTCGATGCGCGCGAACTCGAGCAAGAAATGCCTTCCTTGGAAATTGCCTCTCCATTAGTGGTTTATCTAGTTTCTTCGGTGGGTTTTAGAGCTCCCCGGTCAGATGAAGTATTAGTGTACCACTACAATGTAGAAGGAGTAGATGCGGTTATAGAGAGGGTTAATAATGTTCTCACTCGCCAAGAAGCTCTGCAACACGCTGCGGAGTGCAGAGAGGCGATGGTGGCTGAACTGATGCGTTGGCACAAACACCCTGCCTGGTACAGAGGCCCTAGATCCAAGGCAGATAATCCCTTAACTTCTAAGTGGGTGCTTAAGTGGAAAACAGTCTCCGGCACTCGCAGATTTCGATGAAGAAAAGGAGCTCTTATTCCTGAGAAAGCCTGGTTTTGGACTTCGCGACGCCCCTCGCCTCTGGGGCTTAGCGCTTCAACGAGTTCTTCGTACACTGGGTTTAACAGCTTGCCAAGGCGATACGCAACTTTATGTGAAGCATCAGCATCAGCGTCTCATTCTGGCGAGGAGTATTTATATTGATGATTTGAAGATCACAGGCCTTCCCACAGAGCAAGACGCCCTCGTGAAGGCTTTAGAGTCCAAGTTCGACGCCCTCAAGATCGAGCGTGACAACTTTGAGCATCTTGGTGTTATACATCGCCTTCTTGACGACGGAAGCCGTACACTGTCACAGGAAGGTTACATAAAAGAGCTCAAGCCCATTGCAGAGGCTGAATTGAAGGTTATGGCCGCGACAGACTTGGTTAACGAGCAGACGCGAAGCTTGTATATGTCATTGCTTGGTGGGCTGGCCTGGGTCGTACAGACAAGGCCAGACATAGCAGTTTTCATTTCGGCTTTGCAGCGACGGCTCGCACAACCCAGAGCGCAGGACGCGCTCAATCTGAATCGTGTGCTGAAATATGTCAAGTTAAAGACGGTGGTACTTACCTACAAACCGGTGCCCAAGCCATGGTCTTTAGTTGCCATATCGGATTCAGCTTACAAGGGCGAGGAGCAGGATTGCTTAGCAGTCCGCAGTGGCATCTTGGCTTTGACCAACAAGGACGGAATCCATCAAGGCACCAATGAACTGCAGCTCATAGAGTTTGTGTCGAAGAAACAAACACGTATTTGTAGAAGCACATTCGCAGCTGAGTTGCATAGTTGCTTGGATTTGTTTGGCCTGGCCGGCATTGTCAATGCCACTTTGACAGAGTTGCTCCAGGGACCACGCTCAGCAAGTCAGCTCTCTCGAGAACTGGATTCCGGTTCGAGCGCGTTGCCTCTGGACATGGTCATCGATCACCGAGGTCTTCTAGATGCAGCTTCGAGTGATGAGAACAAGTCCACGGACAGTGCGGTACTACTGCACTTGATGAAGCTCCGAGAAGACTTGAAATCTTCAATTAGGAAACTTTGGTGGTGCGACACGCGGTCCATGGTGGCCGACGCTCTCAATAAGGGAGCGATAGATCGCGCTCAACTGCATGAGTTATGTGCTCAAGGCACATGGACTATCCAGCAACCGCTTGTTTCAAACGTGAACAAGCAGTAGAGACACAGTGACTGTAGTCTCCAAGCGGATGGATCTTCTCCAGTAAGTATAACGGCCTTAGCATAGCTATTGCACGAACAACCTGAGTCGAAAGGTACTTTCCCTACCTTATGTCCGCTCCATTGTGGATCGTTAAGCCTGCAGGTCGTCATTGCATCATATTTGTCTTCTAGTTGCCAGTCCTGATCCATCCTGGAAGCCTTACTTGCTTGTATAGATCTGTACTTGATCCTAGGCCACATGAGCCTGAGAACTGACAGGACTTCGCAACGCTCTAAGGAAAAGGGCAAAGCAGCCATGGACAAGCCTCTCGAGCTGGGGTTTGACAACAAGGACCGTTGGCTGCATTCCGACTCCTACACCCCAAACCCTTACTCCGAAAAGCCCTATACCATCAACCTCAAGCATTACATGGGCTTCATAACCTGCACCAGGAGGTCGGTTGCACTGAAGCCTGAGAAAGTATTTCCTTATTGTCCCTAGGATTAGTATAGTTTATTGTTACAACCCTATCCAAACTACTACAGTACCCTTATTTACGTTTGTTTTGGGCTTTCCTCCTTCCAGCTACAAAAAACTGTTCAAGACTCTAAACCCTAAACCTCGAAAGAGGTACGCTAAACCCTGAACCCTACAGAACGGAATACAATTACGAATGTTTCCAACCTCTTTATTCCGAGCCCTTTGCCGCTGAACATTGCGCTAAGGTCAGGGATCGCTGGCATTGCACCAGGCACATGGGGTTTAAGGTACATCCTTGGTTCGGTCGGCTTTTGACCCAAAACCTTATCTGCAGCAACCGTTCAACATGTATCCTAAGCTAGGTCTCAATGGGTTACATACGCGTATTGCAGCAGAGATTTACAGGATTCTAAAGGGTCCTGAAAAGGGGGTTACTTGTAATTGTAGTACCAAGAATACAAAGATGACTAGGAATACGCACAAAGAGTGCAGAACATACTGATAATGCGAAGAAAGTGAGACTTCCAAGACCAATAAGACTACAACCACCACTACAAGTTACCCTGAACTCTAGGCCCTGGGGACGTGTGGGCTTTGCAGTGTGGAGGGTGTATCCTGGGCAGGTTCAGGGCTTTCTCGAGCCCAGGTCAACCAAGCCAAAACCTCTACCTCGGCCGCCACCCGTAAAGCTAAAAACACCGAGCTTCGCGATACTCCAGCCTTTGTCTGAACTGTGCTGCTCATTTTCTTAAGCAATTTTTCAGGTCCTTGCAGCACATCGGGCCCTGGAACGGAAACCTCCCCGGTGTTCCATGCCTCTTAAAGGTTCTGGAGAAGGAGCGTGCAGTTGGACGCCCTAAACCCCCAAAACCCGCCTCGGCTGCAGGCGCCAACACCAGCACGTGCACGCGGCGCCCGTGTGCGAGCAACGCCACCCCGTCGCAGTGCAGGTGCACTCAGACGAGGCGCTCACGCGCTTGGTTGCCAAGTGCTGGCTCCTCTAGGGGTCTGACTAGTTTCTAAAAGTGGCCACTCCTAGTCGGCATATACCTGTACATAGTCCTTACATAGCTACGAAAGTTCATAATACCCACATACGATCCTTGTATACTATATTTGCCGGCTCTGCTGTTTTATGGCTTTTGCAGCTTTTTGTAACCAGTGAACCAGTGGTTCCGAGACGAAAAGCCCTCCAGAGCTCCTAATATAGGGGCTCAAGTAGTTACCAAAACTGTTTGAGGGGTTCCTTATTATATTTATAGTATGATGGATCCCAAAACCCTGTTCTAGTATTCTAGTTATTAAGGCCCCTTTCTTTATATAATTTCAGTGTCTACCCCAAAACTAATTGTTGAGGCTCCTGTGCCAAAGGAGAGAGTGTTCATGACAGTTAAAGCTCACCCGAAGCCCGGACAATCTCGAATGTTCTACTGTGCACCACGAGCCCTCCGCCTCCTGGCACTGCCAATTCGAAAGGAGGCGCCAGGGCCGCAGATCCGCCTTCTCCAGCGCCAGTGCAGAGCATCGTCCGGCTCTTCAAGTCGGGTTTAGGGTTTAAGGGTTCAGGGTTTAGGGTTTAGGATTTAGGGTTTAGGGTTTAGGATTTAGGGTTTAGGGTTTAGGGTTTAGGGCTCAGGGTTCAGGGTTTATTATCAGCTCTTCACCCAATCCTTCAAGCCTAGACCTTAATCCCCAATTGAACTCCCCACATCCTTAAGCCCGATAGCTGACAAAAGCTACAAATTCATGGGAACTTAATGTGACGGTCTAGTCGCAGATCTCCAAACCCTCAGAGTCGAAGCTCACTTCGTTATATACAGGTGTGAACACTACGTCGTGCCATTCCCTCATAGTCCCCGTGTGGTCAGACTATAGATGTTCATATCTACCTCCGATCGACCAGAAGCCGGTCTGTACCAAAGTATGCTACTGTCCGAATCCGCAAAAGCCACTTCATTATGGACGTGGAATAAAGATATTTAGACACATTCGTTGAGGGCGAGGGCTTAGGGTTTAGGCCACTTCTAGACAGAGAGAAAGACAGGGAGAGAGAGAGAGAGGGAGAGCGAGAGAGAGAGCACAGACCATCAAGAACCAGGGACAGGGGACGCCCGGAGAGTGTGCTGAATAAGGGAGACCATTGAGCAAAGATCTGTGATCGTCTCTGTTTACTCGTGTACGTGTTCGTTCATGTGCCTATTTCGGTCTATCTGTAGGTGCGTACTAAGCATATGTACATATATATATATATATGTATATATGTATATATGTATATCTGTACATTCATATACACACATATACACATACTGTGCGTAACACATTACAGAAGTACGTTCGTCCATACCTAAATAGGTTCATATATAGTCTTAGAGATCCCCAAACCCAACGGGTGTATTTCATTAGAACAGCCTGAAGAAAGCTGGCACCGCAGCCCGTTGCACCCCAATTCCACACACTACAGGCCGCTTAAGCCACCGAACCCTAAACGCCCGGAGCCCTGAGCTCCCAGAAGCCCTCATAAATCCCCATAGGACCCTTCGAGAAGCCCTCACAAAACTTGTAAACACCCGAAAGGGCGTTGCTAAGAACCCTCATCCCTGAAAGGCACCCAAAATCGTAGCTTTTTAACAGACTGCCAAGAAGTCTTCTACAAGACACTCCTATGAGCTCTGAACCCCTAAACCGAAACCCTAAAGCCCAAAAAGGTGGACAGTGGCTGCTCTGAAGCCGGCAGTGACAGTGACTCTGTGCAGGTGGCCCGCGGGGTGATTGATTTAGGCTCTTAGTCCGTGTTCTTTAGGTTTTGTTGCTTTTGTACAGGGGTTTTGACAAGGGCTCTTTAGGTTGTGACGGTTGTGTTGTGTCTTTCTTTGTGTTGCTGCTTTAATCGAGGTACAGACGTCCGAAGAATTTGTAACAACACTCCCTTATAGAAACCTATACATACATACACAAGCATATGCTCCCGAGGCTCTCTCATGTGTGAAGTCCTCTACATTAAGCGTGTAGGGTTCAGGGTTACAAGGTTTGGGGTTTTAGGTCAACGTGTTCAGGCATCAGTGAAGTCAAGCTTTGAACATCATGGTTGGTCATCGTAGAATTCACAAAAATCTGGTAACCGTAATAACGGTAGCAGCAGTAGCAATGGTGCTTGTTCTTGAAGGGATAGTAGTAGTAACAACACCCGTTTTTCGATAGTAACAGTGACGATGCGGCTTGGCGTTACGGTTTTCGGGTCTACTGGCTCAGAATAGCAGACGGGATAATTACCAGTACTATTCCCGAAAAGTCCCCCACAGTTCAGCCTTAGAAGCCCTAAGCGCTTCAAGCCCTGTACTGAAGGGTTTAAGGCTTAAGATTTAGGGTTTAGGATGCAGGGTTTAGTTAGGGTTCAGGATTTAGGGTTCAGGGTTCAGGGGTTTTTTAAGCCCCTAAACCCTAAACCCCACTCCCCATAGACTAAGAGTCGAGGCCGATGACTTCCGGCTGTGGCTCGGGCAGCGCCCGAGCCTTGGTACACTGCTGCAAGGCCCCAGAAGAGAACTCTAAGACCCTGGTGCCAAAGAAGACTGAATGATTATCAACACTCTGCATGAGGGCTCCTTAATATCATGGTACCAAAAGACTACACCAACGCCCTATTCTAATGGTTCATGCCGCTTTTTCAGGTAACGTAAGAACAAACACTTGTAGTGCCATCCTTCCCTGGACGCCTCGACCTGACTATATAATATATTGCACCGCAGTGTTAATGCTCCTACAGCCCCTACATGTTTGGGGGTTTCCGAAAACTGGGGACCCTAATATAGTACCCTAAATAATAGGATCCTTATTATAAGGACCCCAGAATACGAACCCCTACCCCTAATTTTCGGAAACTCCCATTTAAGTTTGTTGTTATCCTGAGAAGAGATGCTGAGGCCCCAGCATGCATCGCCTGAGCGTCCCCGACAGGCGGGCTTCGGGTACCCTGGTTTAGGGTTGAGGGTTGAGATAACCCTAAACCCCAAGCCCTAACCCTAAATCCTACAGCACAAGCGGCTTGCAGGCGATGTTCTTGGTTCGCGGGGTTTGTGGCTGTAGGGTCTGGGTTTTACCGGGCAGTTCAACTCCAATGAACGAATCTAGCCTTTGATCAAGGCCTAGGATTTTGGCTCTTCCCTTGACTCTACATACCAGTATGTTATAATACACCCCAAAGCGTTACTCTAATCAGGAAGGCCCCAGCAAAAAAGAGTCCTCTGGGTTTTGGATGTAAAGTGGGTTGCAGAACCTCTCTGGTCATGCAGGACTGTGTTGAGATGTATTGAACTAGCTAGTGCGCGCTGGCCCTCAGCCGTCTAAAGCTCGGACCACGAAGAGGAACACTAATCTGAAAGTTAGCCCTAAACCTTGTGCCGTCGAAGACCCCATCTGTCTTCAAACTCCTGTAGGAGCCACGAACAGCACATGGCCAAGGATCAGCGGCACCCTGGCACGACTTTCACCATGGTGGGGCTAAGGGTTTACGGTCTAGGGGCCATAGTGGGCACTGATCCACATGCGATAACCTGAAATGATACCCAAGGTTTGGAGTCGGGTCAATCAGATGGCTTGGGCGACTGTAAACTGTAATCTCAATAGAAGCCCAAAGGAAACTGGGCAGGCATATCGACTTGCCACGGCAGGGAGCCAACTTCAGGGTTCAGGACTCAGGGGCTAGATTATTGGAGTTTGGCGTCTCAGGCTTCGGGGGCTAGGGTTTTTAAAACACACTCTTTTTTGTTTACAAAACACCAAGACCATATTCTTAGAACAACTCATGTTTGCAAACGTTTTGGAACTTGAAGCTTAGGGATGCATACACTCTCTTCGTGCCGAATGCCTCACCGCTTCGCAAAAGGAAACTGAAATAAGATATGATAGTAAGCCTGAAAGTCTAAGACTAAGAGAATCGAACGCAGGGGCCGAAGCTGCACATCTCAAAGGCTAGGCACTCTAGCAAACTCTAAGGCGCCAAACCCCTACGCAGGCTGAACCCAAACTTCGGCATCCATCCTAGTCCGAGAACCCTTGTAGCGTAGCGTTTCAGAGCAAACCCTAAATCTAAAGCCTCTATCTTGTCTTCGTCTATGTCTGAGTACACGCGTTTGGTCATCTATGCGACTGAATGTGGACACCTGGTTGTCAATTGGTAGTCACAGATGCACAAACGCACATGTGCACATGCACATGCACATGCACATGCACGTGCTCTCTCTCTCTCTCTGTCTCTGTCTCTCTCCCTCCCAATGCAGAAACTTGATATGTCTGTTTGTGTGGTGGCCTGTCCATCTGCCTGTCTGTGTGTCTGCGTGTCGGTGTGTCTGTCTGTCTGTCTGTCTGTCTGTCTGTCTGTCCGTCCGTCCGTCCGTCGGTCTGTCTGTCTGTCTGTCTGTCTGTCTGTCTGTCTGTCTGTCTGTCTGTCTGAATGTACTTATCTATCCATTTATCCATTTATCAGTCCTTTCATTTATCCATCTATCCGTGTATCCAAGTATCCATCTATCTGTCTATTCGTTCAGGTCCCCAGCTGTTCGCTTTCCGGCTCTCGCTCTCTCTGTATGTCTGTCTATCCATCTTTCTACTTACCTTCCTATCAACCGCTATTAAAGTGGCAAGAACAGTAACACCAATCACGAAGGTTACAATCAGAATAGGTGATCTTAGTCATAGTCACCATCATGCATTGTCTGAATTCTTCTTCGATATGAAATTTTAGTAGTTAGCAACGGCAAGAAGAGGATTCAAACGAAAAGGTGACACCATGTCGTGTTCGTATAATACATAATGAGGCATGATATCCACAGCCTCAGCCGTGAACCCAAAGCCCCAAACCCGCAAAGCCTAAGCCCAAAACCCTGGAACCCCGAAGCCCTAAACTCTAACCCCCCCCCCCCC